AATTGCCTGTGTACAAAATTATAATGGGAATAATTGCCAGCATGCTGTGTTTATTCATGGGGATCCTAGATGTCCTAGATTCAATTAATATAAGTGCCTATATAATTAAATCAATTAGGTATTTACAAATTGTAGTCTTATTTTTAAGATGTTGTTAATTAAATTTTTATCCTTTGATATGCAATTTTTCATCCTTTGTTTACAAGTTTAGTTTTAACTTGTAAATACTATATTTTTATATCTATAAAATATATTTATTAATAAATGTATTAATTTACAGTTTTCTTATACTATTTTAAATTTAGTATTTTTCTTTATGTARAATCCTTTTTCATTTGTCTTCCTATTAAGCTCTTTTTAAGATTAATAATAGAAAGTGTTGAGGGCATTTTTGCTAATTTTATTACATAATTTTAACAAAAATTAACAATTGTTTTTTGTTGTAAATCTAATTTTAATTTCAGCATCCTGTTATATCTTGTAAACTGCATACATTTAATTTATTTTTATCTTAAGAATCTCTGCACTTTCCACTGAAAGCAATCATATGTGTCAATGAAAATGACTAATTATTTATTAACCTTTTCAGGTTATCAAAATGTTATGACAAATCACGTGATTACTATGGAAGAGAAGGCTGAGTTTCAACTTAAAGAAGGATGTCGTTTAAAAGGCAACTCTTGTTGTGCACTAAAGCATGCCGTGCGTTCACTTACAAATCTAGATGATTTTGTTAGTGAGCGTATTGGTGAAGGTTTCTTCTCTGAAGTATACCGTGTTACTCACCGAAACACTGGAAAAGTAATGGTACTCAAAATGAATATCAAACAGTCTAATCGATTCAATATGCTAAAAGAAGTGCAGCTTATGAACAAGCTTTCACATCCAAATATACTTGGGTATGTAAATTAAGATTAATCTAGTTAAACTTTTTTTTATTTAAAACTTCTAAGGGAATACTATAAACAATTAAAATAGTTAAATTAAATTTCTTTAAAATTGACAACTTAAGTACAAATGTATAATTAAATATATTGTCTCTACTATGGGCCCATCGCTAAGGAACAAGCAAGTCAAGTGTTGCTTTAGGGCGGCATACAATTTTAAAGAAATTGTAGGTGGTATAATTAAATAAATATTGGTAAAGAAGAGTTTCATCAATATAAGCTTTAGGGCAGAAAATATGTGTGCCTGTCCTACTGTTAACTGAACAGTGGATACTTAAAAATTCTGAATATTTTTATGAAAGTTAAAAAAAATATATTCACAATTCAGTTAATTTGTRTTATTTTTTGGATTAGCCCATAAAGTCTTGCCCTATTTGGTCTTATGCAGCTATACTAATAGTTAACAACTCATTAGGTTGTTATTATCTACTATAATAAATAGTATTACATATAATCATATATTTATTATACTGTGTGTCTACAAATACAGGGTTCACTCTAAAACTCAGTTACTTGTTACTCAGTTACTCACTATCCTACACGTATTTTTAAATTCTGTTTCTGCTGTTTTTGTTTCATTATATACTCTAAACTATTGTATCATAAATGTCTGTTACTTAAGTTTTTTGACTTTTGTATTTTGTGCATACTGTTTTCATGGACACATGGTATATAAATATATTATGTTAACAATCTATTTATATGGTTATTGTTATTTAGATTTGAAGGYGCTTGTGTATATAAAGGACAACTCCATGCATTGACTGAGGTAATTATAATACTGTTGTCTTCTGTGTATGTTTATAATGTACAATATTGCATGTTTTAAAGAGCTCATTTAATTAATAAAAATGTTTATCACAAATGTACATTTATTAGTATATCAATGGTGGAAGTTTGGAACAATTAATTGAGTCTGATATTGAACTTTCATTTAAAGTAAGAATGAAAATAAGTCTCGATATTGCAAGGGGCATGAAGTATCTTCATTCAAGAGACATATTTCATCGTGATTTAACATCAAAAGTAAATATAAACTTATTTTTTATAAATTATAAATGCTTAATTTCTTTTAAAACCTGTTCTAAAATTATTGTTTAGTTTTACTTAACATTATTGCTATTAATTTTTAATTATAATTTAATTAAATACACCAAGTATAATAACATTCAACAATTTAAAAATTTTAGAATGTTTTAATTAAAAAAAATGAATCAACTGAAGATCTAACTGCTGTTGTAGCCGATTTTGGCCTAGCTGCAAAAATACCAAAGTAAGTTATATTTATATTTAATATTCTTATTCCAATCTAAAATACACTTATAATTTAACACTAATGAAGAATGCCAAAATAATTTTTCTCAYCCAAATTTGTAATTACTTCATGTCAAATAAAATATTATTTACACTAGTATTATGCCTCTGGTAATTAAGGTTGGTAATTTTATAATAATAAACAAATGTGGATGAAAAGAACATGTTTTTAAAACTATTCCATGTGATTAGATATTTAAAATCATATATAAATTTATAATTAATATTTTATTAAAAATATAAGAATGTTAATCAGATTTCTCATTATTAAATGTTTTTTGTGATTTTCAATGTTTATCTATTTTAAGTACATTTTATTTTAAATATGTTTTTATAGAAAAATCAAAATTTAATTAGAAAATACTAAGGTACTTTACTTACCAATTACCCATAATTAATTTCTTATATTTTCTTGTTCATTAATTTAGTTTATACATCTTGATTATTTTCAAAGTCTAAATTTAAATAATTGTTTTTAAATAATTTATTTTTGTATATTAGGAAAGGRCAAAGGTTACAGCAAGTTGGATCACCTTGGTGGATGTCACCAGAATGTGTCAAAGGCAATGTATATAATGAAAGCAGTGATGTTTTTAGTTATGGAATTGTGTTATGTGAAATAATTGCCAGAGTGAAAGCAGATCCAGATATTTTACCAAGAACACAAAATTTTGGACTAGATTATATAGCTTTTGTTGAGTTATGTTCATCTTGTCCTCCACCTACTATGTTTCTTAAATTAGCATTTTCTTGCTGCCATGTAAGATTTTTATCAAACAATATCCTTAACATGTATTATATACATAAATTGTAATAAATTAATTTTTTTAATTTAATTTTTATTAAAGTTGGATGCTAAATCACGTCCAACATTTAAAGAAATTGTTCAACAGCTAGAAGAAGCAATTGCTTTTCCACTTACTGTAAATTCAAATTTATCTGGATCACGAAGATGTCCAGTTGTTACAACTCGGTCAAATCCTTGCTCAACAGCGATGGTAGAAGCACGAAGTGAAGAGTTCCTGCTACAGAATAATAGACCTGAAGAAAACAATCACAAAAAATGTAATTACAAACATATAATTTCATTATTTGATATTTTGTATTCATKGCACTTTTTGATTTAAATAAGCATAGATTCAAATATTCATAAAGCAGTCAAACTGTTCTATTATGATGTAAAATGTTTAAAATTTATAATAATACAATGTATATAATCTTCAATTATTAATTGTATTTTGTGTTTGATATAGTGTGTCATAGTAGATCATTGTCAGAAGATGAAGGTATATTGGCTTTTCCAGCACATACAGCTCCATCAGACAAAGCACGATGTCATTTTGTTCAACCTCTGCGTTATGTGGGTGAAAGTATGTGTCGTCAAGATCCTCATTACAAGCCTTGCCCGTCCAAATCCAATCCCTTTCATAAATTGGATGCAAAGTTTCAAGGTGTTCGAAAAATACTTGCTTCAACAAATGGTTCAGATTTATTTTCATCATGTTGTGAACTACCGTCACCTGGGTATGTGGAACTTGATAGAAGGTGTTCTTTAAGTGTATCAAGTGGTGGTACACTCATTGCTGACTCGTCTACACCTAAAGGAAAATATAGAAAAATTGATAAATCCTCAAAAAAATGTCACTCTACATCTTTACCATCATCTCCACTGATGTCTAGATCTAGTGGAAGACGGTGGATGTCATTAACAAACATAGAAAATACTGCTAAAAAATTTCCTACTGTAACAGTTGATTTATGTTGGACCGATCTCACAATTCCTGTTAACTCTGGTGTAGCTAATCTAAAACGGAGAGGCTCATGTGAATCTGGCTTCTACAGTAGTGTTTGCGATGATTTTTGCTTACCAGGTAAAGATATATTTTATTAACAATTTTTAACTAATCAATGATTCTAATGTTATGAATATTAAGACACTTTTAAAATAACAGTTGTATGTGCTCGATTATTTTCTTGCTGTGTGGGTAGCAAACAAAAGCGTGATCAATATTAATGAACAACATTTTGGCAGGACTTGAGTGCCAGCATGCAACTAATGCTTCATCGGTGACATTGTCATCTGGTTCAGCTACATCATCATTGTTCCTTGACTCCACTGGTGATGATCATCATCTTAGACCTGGCGGCTATTGTTTTCTACACAATAATACACATCATAGTTCAGATGATCTATCAACGTGTAATGAATGGGAAAACCATCAAGTAATTACAATTAATTATTTTATTTTAATTACAATTAATTATTTTACATTATTAATATTTATTTCAGAAGACTAGACATATAAGTAAAATTGTTGAGTATTTTGAAGAAAAACAGAGTCAACGAGAGACACAATCCTCCATACGACCAAGGCGTTCAGGTCTTGTATCTGGAGTTTTACGACGTGCAACAAACACTACTAGTCCAAATGTCTGTGGCAAACGTATTTTGGTTTGTGAAGGAGCTGTAAGGTCAAAACTAAAGCTTTTTGATAGAAAATAAAATTTCTATTCAGGGTGCTACTTACCATTAAATTTTTTTTATTATTATATTTTTTTTTATGATTGGTTGTTATCCAAAATTGTTTCATCTAGTCATAGGTTCTACAAAATGCCAAAACAGTATAATGTATATTAAAACCATTACAATATTTATTTACAATAGTTGCCATTTGTTTCTTATTTTTTGGTAAGCATGAGAGGGTTTAAATGTGTATAGAAGTTATATGTGTAATTTTTTGTTTTGTTTTTTTTTTTTTTTTTGTATTCACCCAAATGTATTGTAAACACTT